CACTGTGATGGTTTTGGCTAAAATAGAAGAAACAGCCACTGAGAAAACCATTCCAAAAGTTGTTTGTCGGAGAAGACAAGTCACCTTTCCAGGCTGGCCAATGAATAGGAGCAATGAAAGGAAGCAGAGCAGGAGGGAGATGAGGAGAGTGTAGGTCAAGTCCCGGTTATTAGCTCTGACTATGGGAGTGTTGTGATTTTTTATAAATACACTTAGCACAAGAACTGTGGTCAAAGAAAAGGAAAGGGCAAAAGAGGCCAAACTGATCCCTAAAGGTTCTTCATAAGACAAGAAACTAATTATTTTGGGTATACAGAAGTCCCTTTTATTGTTGGGATAGGTTTTCTCATTGCATTTGGAACATTTAATTCTGTCTGAAAGAAAAAGATAGGAATGTTAATTTAATATGCAAATCATAAATTCATCAATATGCTATTATCTAATGGAATATGCTCGTGATGGCGAACCTATGGCACATGTGCTGGAAGTGGCATGCAGAGCTATCTTTGCCAGCATATGAGCTGTCGCCCCAGCTCAGTTCCACTGCGCATGTGCCTCCCACCAGCCAGCTGATTGTTGGGTATCTGCTGTGCATGCACGGGGGGCAGGGAAACACATGTGCATGTGCAGGGGCACAGGGCATGTATGGGGGCTCACGTATGCATGCGCAGGGTTGTGGGGGGTCACGTGTGCATTGCATGGGTGCAGGTATGTGTGCGCATGCACATACAAGCACGCACATGCTTTTGGCACGCAACAATGAAAAGATTAGCCGTCACTGGAATATGCTATTATCTAATGGAAGCTTAGATTTTTAAGATTTTGAAATGGAAAACCTCAGAAATTACATGAGTCACCTTCATTTAGCTGATATCAAAATGTCCATTTTTAAAATATTTTATTAAGAATTAATAAATAGTAGATTTTATGTAAGTAAATAAACAAGAGATAGAAAATATGAAACCAAAGGCATTCTAAATCTATAATAATATTGTAATTATAATAGTAATTATTCCTATTATGTCCCTTTGCTTTATTAAAGTTAAAATATTTAGTTTTAACCTATAATTAACCTGTATATTCTAACTATTAAAATTGATATTTCTTATTTTTTCTTTTTGGTTGCCTCAGTAAACAATGCTGTCTTATTCCTTGATGTTTCCAATATGAACCTCCTTTATTCCTCTTCATTTGGATGCATGTAATTGTGGAATGAGTTAGTTTAAGGTATATGGTGAATAAATCTATTAGTTTACCTCATAAAATTGGTAATTTCTCTATATCATATTTAGATAGCACTAGCAAAAGCACTTTGATTTCACAGTTCTGTAAAGCACTCTCTAAGCAATTTATAGAGTCAGCATATTACCCCCAACAATCTGGATCCTCATTTTACCCGACCTTGGAAGGATGGAATGCTGAGTTAACCTTGAGTCAGTCAGGATCAAAGGAATTGAACTTCTGGCAATGTGAGCAGAATTAGTAGCCTGAAGTACTGCATTCTAACCACTGAGCCACTAAGGCTCATATGAACCATGGCTCAGATGAAAGTAGATTTATGTAAATTTAGGTTATAATAATGAAGAATTTAGATTACCAATCTCAGTTGAAATTCTCCCTTCTGGACAAGGGATGCAGTCATAGCAGCAAAATGGCTTCCCTTCCTTCACTTTTTTGCTAAAACCAGGAAAACAACTCTGACTGCATGCAGAAATAGGTTGCACCTAAAAATAAAAAAAAGGGAAAAGAATGTTCTAGAGTTGGGGTTTTGAAACTGCTTGTCCAATGGACCCATTAGAAATTTTGAAAACAAATTGTAGGCATTTTCAGAGCAAGTATAGAATGTTTAAAGTTATGTAGTCAATTAAACATCTGATGATAAAGTAGTAAAGGCAGATCAGGATAGCTTACTTGACATGCCAAAAGCTTACAGATAGTCAAATTAGTTTATTTCTCAATCATATTATTATAACATGTGTTGCGTCATAAACTCATAGTGTCCTCTTTCAGTCCTTAAAAGAGCCCGGAGAATATTATTGCATTTCACATAATGGATTTGGTTGAGATTATTGAAATAGCAAGAAATTTCAATGAGTTTTGTTGCAGTATTTCCTTTGTTATGTGGGTAATAATGCTCAATTTGGCATTTAATTTATTCCCCTTTAAGTTCTACTTTATGTAATGCATCAGATAGATAGGTAGGTAGGTAGGTAGGTAGATAGATAGATAGATAGATAGATAGATAGATAGATAGATAGATAGATAGAATTCTTTATTGGCCAAGTGTGATTGGCCACACAAGGAATTTGTCTTGGTAGGCCAATGAAAGTGATCTCTTATATTTGGGTACCATAATCATTTTGCTAGTTTAAAAATATAGATCTGACTTCTCAAAAAGGGGGAAAAGTTTAGTTAAGAGATTTCTATTTATCAATCCATATCCCATTCTTAGAACTTATTTACCTTTGCCTATTCCATTAAAACAATGAACTGACCATAGGAATGTAGTTACTTCTGCAATCAGCATTTACTTCTAGATGGAAAATTATCCAACTGTACAGAAATTTCTAAGAGAATACATTGTCTGTGATTGGTCTACAGGGAGAAAATAAATGAAGACTTCATTTCAAACACCTAAAGAAATAATGAATTAAAGGAAAGCATCTGGATAATGGAAAACTTATATTGGATAGGATTGATGAGATGCTTAGAAAGAGGGAGATGAGAAAACTAAAGAAGAAAAAACAGTACATGAATTGGTCTATGTATGTGGTAGAAGCAAATGCAAAAAGCAAAAAGAAAGAAATAGAAAAATAAAGTGAATGGTATAGGTGAGAACCATATTTAGATACTCAGAATTTTGTTTCCTCTTAAGTTATGCTTTTAATTTCTTTTGTTTATTGATTGTCAACTCTTTTGATATGCTATTACCTGAAAGAAATAATCTGATAGAATCTATAGAATTGTATGCAAATTAAGGCCTAGTGATGCAAAAGTGTAACCTTGTCTGGGTTTTCTATTGATTGAGATTTATGCAGCTACAAGATCCGATCTAGGACAATTCATTTTAATCTGGAATTATTAATTAAAAGGCAGCCAACTGAAAGTTACAAGAAAAGTTCACATACCCAGCTTGCTTAACTTTCCTAATATTTACCAAATACAATAGTCAAATTTTTGAATAGTGAAAAATATAATTCATACTATGAATTCAAATAAATAAATAAATAAATATTGATAATATTTTTACTTTACGTCAATGAAGTCATTAAATCATTCAACTAATAAATAAAATTCAGTTTTACCTGATTAAACCATGTGTGCCATGTAATGTTTTCATTATTGATGGTTAACATTTCCTCTGGAGGACTTAAGTGATCTATATTTCCAATTTTCGCTCGAATAAATGATTGGTTTGGGAAAACAATCCAGTTGATAACCTCAAATCCACCACTTACTACCCCATTCTGATCAAATGAAACAAGTTTTCCAGCACTGTTGTTAAAAGATACAGTTCTCAGAAAGTTATGGAGCTAAAACAAAAGAAAAATGCAAGAGTATTGGAAGGGTTAAATTATTCCTCTCCATGATGGTAATTTTCAGAAGAGAAAATTGGATATATAGTTGCATTCTATGTAGATTACTTCTCTTTTTACTAGAAGTAAAAGAAGAAGAATTGAGAGTATAAGGATTATTGGAAGAAAATTAGAAAAATGTATGATAGGAGAGATAATGGATTTCACTAACCTCTTTGTTTTGCTAACCACTCTTTTATCATTTGAATGCAACAATATAAAATCAACAAGATTCAATAAATTAATATCTGTATGCTCTTCAGAGTCAAACAGTTATACATACAAATACAGATACATGTGAGATTTGCAAGGGACAGAAATTAAGGAAATGGAGACCAGCCTTGCCATATACAAGCACTGTTGCTCCTCAACCAAATAAGGACATTGCATCCATTACCTGCCAGAAGTCTTTTTTATGGATCTTCCCTCCTATTCTGTCTGTCAGACCTCTTCTTTTATGTTTTGAGGAGGACATGGCATGTAAAGCATGAGCTAAAGAATGAATAGCATTATAGATGCTGTAGCTGTGACCAGTCATTTTCATTTCAAAAAGAGGTCCAGCAAGAGTCTCTAGATTCTCTTCCCCATTACAAATTTTCTCAGACACATCACTCGGAACTGCATCAGGCAAAATACAGGCAAAAACATCTTGCCAGAACAGATTGATGAATCCATCTTCCTTGGTGATGAAGGGATTTTTCTTCTTAAGAAATGATTTAAACTTTGGCAGATCAACAGATTGCATTGTGAAAGAAAGAGCACCATGGATTATTTCTGTACTCCAATTGCGTTGAAATGCTGATGAAGCAAATTCAATCTGGGCATTCAGTATCCATGCAACTCCTTTAGGTTTCACAACTGAGGACTCTGATAGATATGTGAACCATCTCAAAGTCCCCATGGTGGTAGATTCTCCAAAGACAACTATCACATTAGCTTTATTGCCCATGATAAGATCATATAATTTTACTCCCTGTTCATACATACCATCCAATCCATCCATATCACTATATTTTGGGAGTTTTTCAATAAAAGAAGAACATATTCCTCTTTTGGAAAAAAGTGGAACCACATTTCGAATAATTTCTTCTCCATGTTCACTATCTGTTGCCAGGAGCCCAACCCAGGTCCAGTTAAAATGCAGGAGCAGTGAGACCATCCCTGCATGTTGAAGAGCTTCTGGTGGAACCAACTGGTAAAAAGAAAGCCCTGGAGTTTTATCATTCATTAGTGGAGTGGAGCCAAAAATGAGCTGATGAGACATGGAAGAAAAAACAGCATTTTCAGATTGTCATAACAAGCTACAAAATGTAGATGATAATAACAGTTACATTAGTCATACAAAGCAATCTTCAACATTGCTAATACAAATACTGTTTGAAGATCCTCTACATTTCCATATTACTATTTCTATGTGAAATCGGGGGAGTGCTTTAGATTTAATAATTGCTTAAAATTAAATACTGGGCATTCAGTCAAAATTGGGCATAGCTAGTCTAGTGAAGAGAAGGATCAGGTGTGACTTGATAGCAATTTTCCAAAATTTGAGGGTCTGTCACAGAGCGAAAGGGAACAACCTATTTTCCAAAGCACCTGAAGGCCAGACAAGGAACAATAGATGGAAACTGATCGAGGAGAAATTCAATCTAGAAAATAAGGAGAAATTTTCTGACTGTGAGAACAATCAATTATTGGAACAACTTGCTTCAGAAGTTGTGGGTACTTCATCACTGGAGGCTTTCAAGAAGAGACTGGACAATCACTTGTCAGAAATTGTATAGGGTCTCCTGCCTGATCAGAGGATTGGACTACATGACCTTCAAGGTCCATTCCAACTCTGCTATTCTGTTATCTGAATATTTGGGTAATTCAAGATGATACATTGAATCAAGTGCCATGAAATGATTATGATTTGAACCTACAGAGGTTTCCAGATTCCTACTGGCTCAAGCATTATTTCCAATGTCTTTCCATACAGTATATTAAAATGTATGGGAAATACTTTTTGGTGCCACTGATTTTTATAGGATTTGTTTAAGAAAAATCAATTGAAGGAAAAGAAAAACATTTATCCTGTAACATTCCCCCCCCCCCCCCCCAAATAATATATGTGCTGTCAAAACAGGCACCTTTCTAAATAAATAATATTGATATTTTTGTGTGGATGATCTGTTCCTTTTTAAATCTACATCCTTTTATTACTTATCTTTCTTTATTTCTCAATCTATTGTTTGGTCTTTAGCTTGTCCTGTTGACTCTGTCCAATCTATAGACTCATTACATCTCACATTCACTTTCTGTGGTCCCCTCTCAAAGAAAAAAAATGTTTTCTTTCTTTTATTTGTCTATTTCTGTTTTGTCTTATTATGGCCCAAGTAACCCTTCATCATTCTGTGTGTAGATTTGAACTTATGGGCTTGCTATAATTGCATATAACCCAGGCTGTTTCTTTACATGGGGCACACCATTCCCAAATATGGTAAAATAATAATAATAATAATAATAATAATAATAATAATAATAATAATAA